GGGGTGGGTGTGGGTAAGTGCCTGCTCAACCTTTCTTTGGCTCATCCGAACCCAGAGAGCTACCACTGTTATTATGCCCCTGATCTGGACTCGGGCAGTGAGGGTGACAGAGGCACAAGGAAATCCCTGACAGGACAAGTCCCATCAGCCCCCTCGCTGTAGCCATGCTGGGCCTTTCTGCCTCTCATGTTCCTCCCCCCAGGCCCCTCCTAGAGCCAATACCTGCCCCTGCCCCACACTCCCCCTGCCTCTAGGCTGCAGCTCTCAGAGAAGGCCAGCCTGAGCAACAGCTGACCTGATAGTGGGCCCCTGGGCGGCTGCCCCATCCTCGGGGGGCCCCTCAGCCGCCTTGTCCTCCAGCTGGTGAGCACTGAGGAACTGGTTAAGGTCACCGTTCTCCATGTAATCGGTAATCATGCAGAGAGGGTCGTCTTGCACGCACACGCCCAGCAGCCGGATGATGTTTGGGTCCTTTAGCCTTGACATGATCTTCACCTCCTTCAGGAAATCGTTCCTGGAGAGGCAGGGAGAAGGTAGCAAGGGCACGCAGGGCTGACCAGACCTTGCCCCTGCTCACATGGATCAGCACACCCACCCTGCTGCTCACACTGACTCGCAGGAACATGAGGGCCTCCCCCAGATGTCCCTCTGTTGTCTACCATGTTTCTCTCTAGGATGCTTCCCACTCTTCATGGCCTCCCCTCCATTCCCAGATGCCAATCCTGGTTCTCACCTGGCATTCTTGGTGGCATCTGGCCGTAGGATCTTGACAGCTACCAGCAAGGGGTGTCCCTTGCGCACATTAAGAGGGAAATCAAGACTGACCAGATCTTGAGGGCTCTCTACCTCACACAGGTGCACCTGGAGAAACAAGATCATCTGTTAGATGGTCTAAAGGGTCACCAGGCAGTTCCTTTGGTCAACAAGGTCAACTAGGACAACACAGTCACAGAAAACAGGTTCCTGCTCACGGGGACATGTGGGCATGGTGTCAAATCCCCAGTCAGACATTAATGATGGCTGGCAGGGACCCTTACCTCCCCAAACTGGCCCTCGCCAAGCTTCTCCTTGAAACGGAGCCGTGACCGAGGGAAATCCACTCTGGGGGGCCCATCCCCGGCCACCCCTGGGGGCAGCGCGGGCACGGCATAGGTGTTGCCCCCGGTAACGCCCTGCAGAGTGACAATGTCAGCCTCGGCATAATGGGGGACGCTGTTCTGGGGAGGTGGGGGCAGAAGCGGGGCACCTGGCTTCTCAGGCTCCATATAGTCGCCACTGCAGGCTAGAAGAGTAAAGGAAAGAAGACAGGTGGAGGCATCAGGAGCAGCCCCTGAGAGCCACGGTTCTCCACACCCCAGCTTTTCACAGGCTCCCAGTTGGGTGGGAGACTGGGTCTACCCTCCATCAACCTCCTCAAACCAGAGAGGACGCTAGCGTGGGTGAGAGTTAGCCGCTCTGGAGTTTTCAAGGCACTGGGGATGGTCATGAGGTCTTATTCTCTAGGCATCCCAGCCTAGCCCAAGAGACCATGAGACGTCTCATCGGGAAGAGATCCTCTACCCACCATAAGGAGGACGGTGCCAGCCAATCGGTCACCTCCACTTTCTGAACCTTTGCCCCACTCACTGGCAGCCCCTCCCTCTCGCTTAACTGTTCCCCGCTTCCTCCCCTCCCAACCACTTTCAGCCTTGGCTCCTCCCTGCCCTGCTGCCCCCTGCCCTCACACCCAACCCTCCCTGACCCAACACACCAAGCTCAAAGACAAGCAGAGACGGGGGCACACAGAGAGGGGAGGGCAACGATTCCTCACGGCCCGCACGACAAGAGGCTACAGACAGAGGAGAGGAGGCAGAGCTGCCCCTCAGCCCTGGAGAAGGGGCAACAATGAGAAGGCAACACCGAGGAGAGGAGCAGACAGAAAGGGCGGGGGCGTGAGCCTTCACCTCGGGGACTGCAGAGAGAGGACACATGGGGGGACAGGGCAAGCACCCAGGGTGAGAAGCCCTCCTCCTCGAAGCTCTAGAGAGAGGGGAGAACAAAGGAGTTACAGGAGAACCTGGGCCAGCACCGCAACCTCCTCTGGCTCTGGAGAGCGGGAGAGATGAGGTGGGAGAGGAGGAGGGGCAGAGCTGAGGACCAGGGTGCTTTCTACTCCTCAGCTCAAGGGGAGGCCTTAAAGAGGAGCGAGCAGCGGCAGAGGAGAGCTAAGGGCACAGGGGAGTCCTCCGTGGGAACTCGGGGAGCAGAAGAGGCCACAGTGAGGAGAGGAGGCAGTGCAAGGTGTGAGGACTTTCCCTGTCCCAATAGAGGTTCGGGGAGCCTGGTGGAGCCCAGGGCAGAGGGGCTTACCCTGGGTGTTGGTGGGTTTGGCCCAGGCGGGTGTGGGGGGGCCCGGGCCTCGAGGGGGACGGGCGTAAGTGGCCAGAAGGAGGCGGTAGGCTGGATTGGAGAGCAGCAACGCTGTCGGGAGAAGGAGGGGGGGAGAACACGGGGAAGGGATGAGACTCAAGGCTAGACAGACAGGGAGACCAGGAACAGGGCAAGACCAGGGCTGATGGGAACAAATATACTAAGAGAGACAGGATATAACAAGGATGTGGAGAGTGCTGGGGAGCTGGATAAATAATGGATGGATGGATGGATGGATGGATGGATGGATGGATGGATGGATGGACAAACAGATGATGGCTGGCTGGCTGGCTGGCTGGATGGACAAACAGATGATGGATGGATGGTTGGATGGACGGATGGATGACGGATGGATGGATGGACAAACATGATGGATGGATGGATGGATGGATGGATGGATGGATGGATGGATGATGGATGAACAAATAGATGATGGATGGATGGGTAATGGATGAATGGCTGATTGATGGATGGATAAATAAAAACTGTATGGATGGATGGATAGGTGAGGGGTAAATGGTTGGATAGATGATGGATTGATAGATGACGGATGGATGGATGAAGGATGGATGACTATAGGATGGATGGATGGATGGATGGATGGATGGATGGATGGATGGATGGATGGACGGATGGAATAATAGATACATGATGAATGGATGAATGACGTATGAATATAGATTGGTAGGTGGAGGATGGATGGATGGACAGAATAACAGATACATGATGAATGGATGGATGAAAGGAATGTGGTGAGTCTAGGAGAAAGGAGAGGGGCCAGGAAGACACAATGAAAGGGCACAACAGAAAAGACAGAGAGGTGTGTATGGGACAGAGACAGGATAAGACCACTGGGGACGATGAGTAACACATGGGAAATTCCTGAGTGAGATTATAAGGTAGGGACATGGAATGATATATTTGGTAGTGACCAGGGGCACAGAAATAAAAAAATGAGTTGAAACTGGGGGTGACAAAAAAAGAAAGGAATAGGAAAGGAACATAGTAAGAAAACAGGCAGAGAGGATGGAGGTAGAACCAGAATAAGCCAGGTCTTACCTGAGCCGTTGGGGACACTGGGGGCAGAATGGGCTGGGTTCCCGCGAGGCCGGGGCTCCTGGTAAGGGGGTGGCTCTCGAGGACCTGGGCGGTTGTTGATGAGGATGGTGTCCCCAGGGACAGAGAGATGAACTGTCAGCTCCTCTTCTAGGACCCGACGCTCGGCCTTGTCACAGGGAAGGCAAGAAGTGAGCGGTGCTGCAGCCAAGCAGCACATCCAGCTCTGTCCAGTGCTGCCCCCACACTCCCTCCTCCCGTCCTCAGAGCAGTCCTGGAGTGGTATCTACAGCGAACTCCACGTCACAGGTGAAGAAACAGGCTCAAGAGCACCTGAGTCCCAGGATGGGATCCCACCCTGGTCTGACCAGTCCATAATTATCAACTTTAACATGTTCACACCCCGGACTCTCGCTGGAAGACATGGGTTTGAGGTATGCCAGACTTCTTCCAGCTGTTCCTCCAACTCCACCTTTTCCCACTGGCTTCTACCCCAAGTACCCCAAGAGGTGACCAGCATGGACTGCAACAGGCAAGAGCTGGCTTGGCCAGAGAGAAGCCCAGCAGGAGTTTGGAGAGCCCATGGAAAACGCTGGAAAGCGCGATTAGGCTGGTTATTCTCCCAGCCCCTCCGAGGAGTGGACTCAGGCTACTGCATCCCTGAACCAGAGTCCACTGCCCCCTCAAGGCTTGCCCCCCAGGTTCTGGTAAGTGTGGCCTCCTCTCACCAAGCAGCCCAGGACGGTGACACCCTGTGGTGACTGGCCCTGCGGACCCCACTACCCCTCTTAATTTCCATGTACCCCACCCTCACTTTTGTAAGTGGTCTCTACTGAGCCTCCCCTAACTATTCTAACTAGACTGTGCTCGATCCCTGCTGGACCGACTGATGCGGACACAGGTGGCCTCAGGCGCAGAGCCCCGCGCCCACCTTGCTGAGGAGCCGGCGCCAGTGCAGCCGCCAGAGCATGAGGGCGATGATCAGCAGCAGCAGCAGGATGATGGCCACCAGGCAGCCAATGAGGATGGCAGTCGGGCTCCCCTCCGCCTTGGCCACGGGCTGCTGGCCCCTGGGCTCCAGCTCTGGCAGGAGCAGGGGGGTCAGAATGGCAGAAGGCTTCTCACCCGAGTCGGGGGGCCCAGGGAGGAGCGGTGTGCAGGGCCCACACCCACAGGAGGCCCCAGGGCTGCTCACCCAAGCTGAAGTTGGTGGGAGGTGGGCCAGGTGGCCACCAAGGGGCTGGTGGGAAGGTGCCCCCCAGAGCCAGAGAAGAGTCATTCATAACATCTGGGGAGAAGACAAGACAGGGAGGCAGGTAGGGAGGGGGCCTGCAGGAGAACTAGTAAAGACTGAGGGGAGGGAACAGGGCTAACACTCAACACCCATCCCAACCAATCAGAACGGGTGGTGGGACCAGTTCCAGGGGTCTGGAGGCCCTGGCTGTGGTGGACATTAGCCTCTTAGTTGCTGGACTGTGGGGAGGTGCAGGGCTCCCAGGGGAAGCCCAGGGCAGGGATCACAGTATCAGGAGGCTTAGGAAGAGGCCATTTCCCAACCAGCAGAGAGTGTTTCAGTATTTTCACAGCCAGCGTCATCCTGGCTCAACATCAGTCATGATGGCTCATAAAGAAAAGACAGAGGTGGGGAAGAGGTGGGGAGAGTTCCAATCATTTGGGGGACCCCCTGTTTGGGAAGTCTCGTGGGTGGTGGGTAGATATGGTGCCTGCTTGGGGCAGCGAGGGCCTGGCAGTCCCAGAGGTTGGGGATTGGCAGGCATCAGGGCTTACCAGAGATGAAGGAGATCTCACTGAAGAGTAACCAAGGCCCAGCAAAGAGGAAGCGGCACTGCAGGAAGCGAGCCAGGCGGCCGCCAAGGGGCACCGACACAGCCCGGGCTCTGGGGTCCCCCAGGCTGCCCCCCAGGGCATGCCGCACAGGCTCCCCCTCCCAGGCCATGGCTGGGCCCCGCTTGAAGCGACACTCCACCCCGCCAGGAAGGCGGGCTCCCAGGGTGTGCATGTTGTTACAGTGAACCTAGGGGGAGGGAAAGGACATAGGGCCAAGGCCAGGAGCACAGGGAAGCACCCTGGTCTCAGCGCCCTCCCTGGGAGCTGGGTGCACTCACCTGCATGACCTGGAAGGCCCTGAGCCTGTCAAACTCAAACTCCATCTCCAGGTAGCCACTGGAGAAGCTGTGGTTGCTCCATCCCACGTAGTCGTAGCCTGGCCAGACCCGCAACTCCTGGCTCTTCCGGAAGTCATCCAGCCCCAGCACACCATCTGCCAGCTGGCCCAGGCCTCCATACTGCAGCCTGGGGAGGGCCGGGGCAGGTTGGGAGAGAAGAAAGTGCTGCCTACCCAGGGCTCAGCAACCCCGCCTGGCCTACCCAGCCCCTCGTCCCAGCCTCACGCAGCTCTCCCCTCCCTGGGGACTAGGACGGGAGTCCCATGCTGCACAAAGCACCCTATGATGTGTGTTTTTTGTGACAATTTCCAACAGATGTGTGTTAGCAAAGGGATGCCTTTTTCTAATTCACACAGTGTCACAAGAGCTACTGGTCGCCTTGCTGCCCTTCAATCCTGGTCCTGCCCCTTGAGGCCCCACCTAACCCATCCCCTCCCCATTCATCTATCTCATCTGTCTCACTATGCAGACTACTTACCACCCCTACACACATGCACCCCACACACGTGTTGCACGCGCACACACACATGTACACATGCACACGCACCCACATGCACACCCACCCACACACGTGCACGCGCGCACGCACACCCACCCACATGCACACCCACACACGCACATGTGCACGCACACGTACACACACACCCACATGCACACCCACACACGCACATGTGCATGCACACGTACGCACACTCACCCACATGCACACCCACACACGCTTTATCCTCCCTCCCTCCTCAGGCCCGTCCTGCAGGGCCAGCTTCTTCACCCGCCAACGGTGTGTGTGGTGTGTCCATCGTAGGTAGAGTCATTGAGGTGCACGGCCTCGGCCAAGTACATCGTCTGCCCCACAGGGGCTGTGTAAGACAGGAGTCCATCTAGGGGAGGGCGGGAGGTGAGGGCTGGGAGCTTGTGAGGGCTTAGCCTCTGGCCCCACCTTCCAAAGGCCACTGGCACAGAGCAGGCCACTTTGGCCAGTCCCTCCTCACTCAGAGTGACAGCTTCCCCACAGGAGAGACGACCCTGGGTGCCCCTCTCCCCAGGACCCCACCGCCAGTCCCCAGGATAGGAAACGAGTTCTCAGGGGGATGAACCCCTAAACAACTCACCCTTCCAGAGGCAGCCATAGAGCTCCACCCGCAGACAGACGCTCATGACCCGGTCAGCCCGGGGGTAGAAGCGGACCAGTCGGGCCACCATGGGGGGCCCAAGGTCCTTCAGCACCACTCCCCCAGGGTCCTCATTACCCAAGATCACCTGTGGGCCAGGAAACAAGGCAGATGGGTGGGAAAGGCAGGTTTAACACCTGGGTTGCCAGCTGCTCCCTACCCCAGCCCCTGCCACACAGAGACCCGTGAAGGTGGCGCTGTACACTCCGCTGGCTGCGGGGCTGCAGCAGTCCTGACACGTCCGTCAGCCCAGTTGCAGTCCTCCCTCCCTTGGCTCCATGCATCTGTCTCAAAGCCACTCGGCCTGCTGTGCCAGATTTCACCCATCCTCACAGTCCTGCACCCCTGCTCCAGCTCCCTAGCCCCTGTTCACTCCGCAGGTGCTGGCCCAGTGCCCAGCATGGGCCAGCCTTCTTGTCCTCGCTGGTGAGCAACAGTCCCTCCCCTGTAGAACTGAGCCCCGTGTGAGAAACAAGAGGTGGGAGTGGGGCTGGAGCAGTGGGAGGTGGGGTGGTCAGAAAAGGATCTCTGAGGAGGTGATGTCTGGGGAAGAACTGGATGGAGTGAGGAGGGCCTGCAGACATGGAGGGCGGGGAGGAGCTTTCCAGGCACAAAGAACAGCAAGTGAAAATGTGCTAAAGCTGTGGGAGGGGCCCTAACTTGTTCAAGAACTACTAGAAAACTGGGGAGCCAGGAGAGGCAAGGACAGGAGTAACAGTATGGCAAGGGCCAGGCGGGCCCAGCTTCTGCACTTGCTCTCGGGAGGGGCCTCACTTTGTTCTGGCCAAGTGGGAGCCAGCTGACATCTGCAGCTGCCATGTCCCCTGATGTGCATCTTCTTTTTTATCTCTTTTTGATTTTGAGAGAATGTTTATTAAAGCTGGGGACAGTGAAACACGGAAGGCCTAGGGTAGAAGAAGCAACAGGAGAGGGACTAGGTGGGGAAATGAGCCCAGACTGGGCTGCCCTAGCTCTCTGGAAAGTCAGAGAAAAGGGGCCTTGGGGACAGGGTCTGGGGGTTAGCCTGGGATGAGCTGCCGCTGCCCACTGCTCCCTGGTTGCAGGACTCGTGGGTCCCTTAGAGTTGAGGAGATGCACGCCTGTGGGGGACTGACATGCATTGTCTGAAGTACACTAGCTGTTGCCTCTGGGGCAAGATCGAACTTCAGGCAGGAAGGGCAGAAGCAGGGAGAACAGTTAGGAGACGACATCAAGCCTTCACCTAAGCTGGGATGGGGATGGGGATGGGG